GATGATTTTAGATTCGTCGCGATGTTAGATGGGCGCCGATTGCATGTCATCTGGTTCAAGCTTTCCCACTCAACACACTTTCGACAACACCCCACCGATCAATGCTTCTCTTGACCAGAGCTCCAATTGTCTCTCTCCCCACAACACCCCCACCACTCTTCTCCACTCGCCTGATGACCAAGTCTTTTGTACCCTTGTTTCCGCCAGCGCAATCCACCATCACACTGACTGTTTCTCTGCATACGCCCTCCTCAAACGCATCTGGATCACTGAGTACAAAGTCTACTGCTTCCTCTTCCTCTTCTCTCCTGCCTTCGAACACTGCGAATGTGCTGGGTATTGGTAGACCACGAAGCTGAAGCTGATGCGCCTCATTTGGTTCGTCCGAGCATAGTATTCCCTCGTACTCTTCGTCGTAGTAAGCGTGTGGGAGAAGTGTATCGCGGAGTGCGGCAAGTATAGATATCCACGCAGCATCGAATGCGTTGCCATCAATGCTGATGAAGAAGACATCGAGGTAGAGGACCCAATAGCCTTTCAGTTGTGTCTCGGGGTCCGTGTCTGGATCTTCGGGGTTTGTTGATGGCTTATATAGTATGCGGAGATCTGAGGCGCGAAGAAGGTGTGTTGAGTTGAGGAGAGAGCGTATGCGGGTTATGAGTGTTTGCGCATATGTGGACGGTGCATTGCCGGGGATGTGAGAGGGCGTGCTTCCGGTAGATAGTTCCACGTTTGGGACCAAGAGCCTCAGCTCTTCCACTTCCTCATCGTCCTCGTCGTCTTTGTTGTCTGCATTCTGACCTGGGTACTTGTAGGTACCTGGTATGTCCTCTTCTTTCAAGATCTCGGCGCGCACTCCGCACACCACACTTGTGTTCCCGAGTCGCACGACCGCACTGCCGTTGCAGTGAGTTAGACTCCCGGTGTTGATTCCTGGTGTGCGAAATTCGTTTGCGGTGCGACCGTTGGCGCGAATTGGCTTTTTCTTCTCAGCGGAGAGATGCGCTTGGAGAAACGGATGCGGGGAGACTGCGGCGAAGATTGGGCGAGGAAATGTGAGCGCTGGGGAGGATTGGGTCGTGGTGGTCATGGCGAGAGTACTGCACGATAGTTTGCACTTCAGTGTGGGTGGGATATTCGAGGCGCGAGTCGTTAGCACCTGTGTTGACGCTGGGAAATTTTGGAGCTCTGAGCTATGACGCGCTAAGGTTAAGCTTAATGGGTGGGGCCTGGAGATCTTAAGCATACCTGGGCCATCATAGCAATCAATCCCACTTGATACAAAATTAAGACTATATAACCCACGCGCTATGCCCCGGGGTATTCCCATACGCTGTGCGTGAAACGCGACATGCAAACACAAACCCTAGCTACATCCGATCTCTGTGATCAATCTGTCCAGTCTCTTCGCAGTTGTAGCTTCGTGCAGCTTCGAATCTATCCTGAACTGAGTCCAGCCTTACCGACCTGCTGTACAGGCGTCCATTTTCCCTCTTTCTTGAATTGATCGCCCCTCAACGTGCCCTCAGCAAGCTGGCTGATCATGTAATCCCTACCCTTGATCATCCATACCATCTGGCTGGGTACCCTAAATCCATTGAATGCGCCCACACCCTTCTGGGTCCCGATGGGGCAGATCTGCTGCTCCTTTAGGTTTGCTGTGTAGTGACGATCGCCCTTGTGAGGCTCCCCGGTCAAGTGGGCAAAAAGGTCGTTCTTGAGGTTGGTCATGGCAGCAGGCACAGCATCGGACATGTCCATGACTCCTCCACGGGTGTATGACCCTGCGTCGCCGACGACGTAGACACGCGGACCGGCGGATTCGTGTTCGACGCGGAGCGTCTTGTCGTTGCAGGCTACGCGATTGCGCGTGTCGAGCCACTCCTTGGGAAGGAAGCCAGTGTTCGGCCGAGAGCCAGTTGCATCAATGTAAATATCCGCTTCTACCGTTTCGCCGTTGCTAAGCTCCACCCTCGTCTTCGCGCCTTCTTCTTCGTCCGCTTTGGTCGACGCAACAACCCTGGTATTATAGGTGACATCGCATCCCAGTCGCTTCAGGAATTGCTCAGCAGTTTGTCCAATGGCTGGGCGGAGGAGAGGCAAAAGCTTCTTGTCACCGCAGACAAGAGTGACCTTTGCTTTCGGGTTCTTGGGCGCAGACGCCATGAAACCAGGTCGACCATTCAAAATCTCAGCAACCTCTCCAGCAGTTTCGACACCCACAGGGCCGCCACCGCCAATTACTACTGTCTTCGCGCTCTTCAGGCCCTCCTGAAAGGCGGTATGTACCTTCTCGAGGGCTTCGCGATCGGTAGCTTGTGTGAACAGAGGGCTTGGTGTAGTGAATCCAGTTGCTATTACAAGCGCGGCATACTCGATGTTTTGTTGCTCGCCTGATGCGGTTTCAACACCAACCGTCTGGCTGGTGGGGTCGACGTGTGTAGCGGTCCCCTGGACGAACTTGAATTTTGGAAATGCGTAGGTAAAAGCGGGTTCGATTGGATAGAATGTCTTCTCTGAAGGCATCATCTGCTTAGAAACGCTTTCTCTAGGTGCTGCGATGCGCCACCAGAAATCTTTAGAGGGGTTGACGAGTGTAACATTGTAGGTCACTCCGTCCTTCTTCGGTAGTTGCGGGAGGATATGCTTAAGGGCGTAATGCGCGGCGCTGATTCCTGCGAAGGAACCCCCGAGGATAAGGATAGTTTCGGTGCTCATATTGAACGACGATTAAAGATGCGCTTGAAATGAGTATACTGAGTGAAGAAAAGATTATGAGCGGGACAAACACGTCGCAAAAAGAAAACGTTTGAGAGACGCGTTGATGATAAACTCTAGGCGCGCTTCAAGCCTGAGGGACGCCGTAGGTGGGGAGCCGCCGAATCGTCAAGTCGAGGCTGAATCGAGTGACTGAGACGTTTCATTATCGTAAGCGTGTTGTTAGCCCTTCATAAATAGTTCTCAAAGTTTCCTTATCAATATTTTAGCCGACATTGGACGTTGCTTATGCTTGGGCTTATGAATCGCAACCATGGCCACGCTGCTTATTCCAATTGTGAGATGTTGGAGGCTTGGGAAAAGGAAGCTAGGGATCGCGTGCTAGCTGTTTTACGCCTAACCACGGAACCCATTGTTGCCGAACCCTTGCTGACAATGATACGGATGCATAAACTTTGGCAGCAGACAGATTTGCGCTTACGAAGTCGTCCTTCTGGCGCCTATACCCCAAATCACGAGCTGTGAGGCTTGACACATTCGTTACAGCTGACTCGTGGGATCTTCGACGACTCTTTGTCGCACTGCCATCTCGAAAAGCTTCATTCGCGACATTCGATTCATGTGCGCCGTCATAGGCCTTGGAAATTCGCAGAGTCAAATGCGCGGAGACTCCCATCTTGTGTTTGGTGCGCAGTCATGACATGGGGAGCGTGCTAGAAGATTTTCATTCATATCTGTTCCGAGACATAACGCCAGTCCGGTATCTGAATGCAAGACCCACCGCGACTGCTGACCGTCACGGTCGTTGCATCCATGAAGTCCTCCATATCAATATACATGCGGTAGGCTGCCATTGCACATGACTCCTCCCTGGCTCTTTCCAGTCGTTGTCAAGCTACTTTTTATGTAACTTCTTACTCGACCTCAGCCTTGGACTCGAAGTTCTCACCAGCGACAAGTTCGGGGATGTCATCATCGTCCTCATCGTCGTCGTCCTTCTTCTCGCCGTCCTCACCCTTCTCCTTCTGCATGCTCTGGTAGGACTCGGCAAGTTTGCGTAGCGATGCGAGCGAATCTGGGCCGAGCTGGTTGAGGATGCCGGGGACGAGCTCTGTTAGCTCCTTGTCCTCACCGTGTCCGTAGATGGCGAAGGTGTTGGCAGGTACTGAGGCGTGGACTAAACAAATGTGCGCGTCAGTATATGGTATGTTGCGAATGTGGGTAATGTGAGAGCGGGTTTCGATAATAGCATGTCTGCTGTGTGTCCAAACTCCCCTCTCAACCTCCTCACAGTGCGGAGCTCTAGGATGACGTACCCTTTGGTGCCGAGAAGTGGATGACGTTTCCGTCGCTCTTGAACATGTTGACCTCCTCAATGGCCTGGATGGGCTGGACGTTGAGCTTCTTCAACGCGGTCTGGAGCTTCTTGTCGTCGGTACCAGCGGCCCTGTGGACCTTCTTGACCTTCCTGCGGGGAGTACCCTTGCCGCTATATATCGAATTAGCCTCGAATCCCCCATGTCCATCTGAGTCCTGCTATGCCGTTCGCTAGTGGTTGGTGGTCGTGGTGGTGGTTTCGGGGTGTCAAGATATTTTGTGGTGCGGGGCTGTCAAAAATAGAGGACAAGAGGCTTGCTTACCCTATACACGCACAGGTTAGCAATGGATATCTTGAGTGATATGACTGCCTGCAGCCCAAGGCAATTCCAGCTCAGAATAGGCGTACATACCAATGCGCACTGACGCTTGCATGCGCGCCAACTTTGCTTGATCCATATTTGCGGTGTTGAGGAAGAAGGATGACTGGGTGGGGAGAGCTGTGCAAGTCGAGGGTCAGCGGTCGGGTTCGGTTTCTTCGCAGATCTAAACGAGGGCTTGAGCTCAGGGTGAACACGGAATCCGTACGCACCTAAATTCGGGATCGTGGCCGAGACTTGGTGTGTGGTGTTGCTGGTGAAGTTGTTGCGGGCATCGGCGAAACTCTACGGAAGCGCCGATTGTGTGCATGCCTCGCTTGTTGGAAGCTCCAGATCCCCGCAACGTTAGAGTGTCATTCCACACGCATGAACGCCAACACGCCGTCATCAAGCTCGCATCTCAAGACTGACCGTCAGCTCGCGACGGGCGCCAATTCTCACTCGCAGCGCATCTACGCAACATGGCATGCTTGTCTGTTTCTCGAGACACGTAAATGCATGCTTCACTTACTGGTACAATGACGCAAGGCACAGAAGGGATTAATCAATATTGGTATACAGCTTTCTACCTCAACACGCCACTATCTAGAGCATTGCCATTCCAGCCATACCAACAGCACCCAAAGCCCACGAGGCAACCTTCGCTTGTGTTGCTGCGCCGGTGGTCGGTGTGGCTGATGCTGCACCTCCACTGGTCGCCGAGCTCGGGCTTTCGTCTGTTGATGATGTTCCGTTGGGGTTTCCAGAAATGTTCTCCTGGGTGACACTCATGCCTGTTTGGTTCTTGCAGTCTTCACTGAAGTTGATCTGGGCATTGTTGACCAAGGTTACGTCCGCGCACTATGGATATTAGCGATTCTGTTGTAATGGGGAAGTCCATGAATAGTAAGCTTACCTGGTATAGACCACCCGCCTCGTGGTTGTTGGTAACGACTTGTATTGAGGCCTTGGTGCCGTCCGAAACGTTCAATCCTGCTGGTACAGCGACCGAGCCTAAGCAAAAGTCTCCAAGCCCTGAGACTTGGAGCTGCTGTTGTGCGACAATGCTAAACCCATCCCCCGGGTTATCGCCAATGGCCATGTACACAGCAACATTCGTTTGCGGATGCTCCATGTGCAGTTGTATTGGGCCACCGCCAATGGGGAAGTCGGTGCGTTGTTGTTGAACATCGTTGTAACCTCCGCACGGGAAGTTGCCCTCAGTGTCGTCGGTGAACCCACGCGACGCAGGAAACTTGAGTTGAAAATGAGCGAGGGAAAAAGGTAGGAACGCGAGTGCGAGGATGCTGTTGGAAAGCATGTTTACGGTTCGGAGGTAGATGTAGGTATTGATGTCAAGGTAGAGAGGAAGACGCGGTTGACTTTGTATAGAGAAGCGCGAGAAAGTCAAAAATGCAACGATGAACAGCAAGCGAACGCTGGGAACTCCTGCCGTATTTATTGCAGCTTAGGTTGGAACACATCTTACCATGCCGTGTATTCCGTCCAGTGAACCGCGTGCCTCGCGCGTGAGCACTGATGGCCACATGCATTTAACCTGCGTTTCAAATAGGCCGACGATCTAAGCAAAGAACAGTAAGTGAGTCATATTCTGCATCGGCGGCGTCACTCGCTAATGTGCAAGTTATCAGGGTATGGTATGTTGTGGCGCGCTGGTTGAGCAAGTTTATTACCAAAGCAGTGGTTCCATGGCCGAAGCGACTAGCGTCGAACATGGATCTATTCCACACATGAGAATTCCCGTGGCACTCTGAGGCCTGGACTATGGTTCTACACTGGCTTTGAAGATCAAAACCATGGGGATAACAAGTTCATGAATCGCATGTTCGGATCTTGTGTGGAACAAGCTTTGTGGACCCAACGATAACGTTAGCACTTCGCGGGTCAAGATGTTTGGCCGAGCACGGAGCGATAAGAAAGGTTCCGTGAAGCATGAATTAATCGAGGCGCTGGTGTGATCAAGCAGTTTTTTCATGACAGGTTTTCTTATGAATACATAGGTGTGGTTGAGAATCTGAGACTCAATGGGCCGCAACTTGGTTGAACCTGCCAAATGCCAGTTCGCCGACAAAAGCACCTGCCAAAACAGACAAAAAGTATCCCACATTATATGTCATAACTGCCAACATGCTGTTGAGGAGTCAGTTTCGACCAAGGTAATGTACAAGCATGCATATGACTTACAGGAGGTATCCGACACCGGCTGCAACCGTCATTATGAGTGCCCTAGGCAGATCGACACTGAACCTCCATGGCTGAATATGAGATACAGGTGCCGAGACAACCCGCACATCTTCCTGAACACCATTTGTTGTAAGAATACCAGTCATCGAGTTGGCGTCATCCGTAGCTTTCTCGATAACCGCTCTTTCTCCCGCAACGACAACATATCGTCGCTTCAAGGCGCTCTTAACTGCTCTGACCTCGAGCAAGGTTTTCGCTGTAAAGACTGCACGGAGGAGGATAGATAGGAAGATAAGGAAGATGCATGTCCCAGCGTATTGACCAGCAGTCGTAGGGGTCCACGCTTCGGAGTATAGCGGAGTGTTCGTCGCCGTGAAGAAAGCCATCGCCATGCTGCCATGTGACGAAGTACCCATATCCATGCCGCCCATATCCATCGAACTAGTAGCCGTTTCGTGACCCTCGTGAGCGACCATGGTGCCAAACTGGGTGTGTGTGTGTGTGCGCGTATTCGATAAGAATCTTTCCGAAGATGAGGTTCAGAAAAGTGTACGTCTGGGTTGTGTGGGGTGATTAGATATCGAAGACTAGGTACTGAGTTCCAGACTGCTAACTCGGTACTGGGGAGATGATCGCTTAAGAGTCCTTGGTACGTTGGGGGGGTTGTACGTTCGCTGGTTCCGATTGCGCAAGTAAAGACGCTTCAGCATGAACGCATAACCTGGGGGCGTTGATTTCGTGTTGCAGTGTATACGAGTTAAGTGATTGAGTAGGATCTTGCGACACTCAAGAAAATGTCAAGTCTGGGCTGATGCGTGAAGCGTCACGGCATGTGAGCACATTTCTCGGCACTGCCTTCCCGCCTACAAGTAAGAGAGAGCAATCTCGAAGCCACGGACGGCCTGCAGCGATGCACCTGCAGCTTGGGTGGGCCATGGCGCGCTGCCGGTGACTATGAACGGACGGGCGACGTTCAAAGAGCCGTGAGTTCCAAGAGCGACTTTGAGCATAATTAGCCGTCTTGGGTTAGCACGCGAAGCTTGACCTACGCCACGGCCAGGATGGTGCCCACTGGCCCTCAATCCAGGCCCCGCAGTGCATCGAGCCTGCATGTGGGAGGCGGTTGATTACACTCGGCACTACGGAAACATTGGATTATTGCTAGAAGCGTATCTGGAGGTGCTCCATGTGTGACACTTCCTCTACATCACTATCGGTCTTCGTTGTTCCTATGACACTGCTACATTCTATCCATCTCCGAAAGTACTAGAGTATATCTTCGTACCCATAACTTATCAGTCGACGGGACCATCACCCTAGTTACGTCTTAGACTTGTTTTCGACCGAGCCAGCATGCGATAAACACCAAGGCTAGGCTTTCGCCCGTCCGTCATTCGCAAACGCCCAACTTCGCTTCTGTTCCAGGCCTGATATCATCTGCCAAACGACGGTGGTGTACTCGCAGCAGCGCCCATCATGAGCCACAACCACATGTCGATGGGCTCTATGGGCATGTTGCCCGAGCTTACAGAATGGCCAGATTTTTACTACGCAGTAGTAGGGGCAGCAGTAGGCGTCGCAACAATTTTCAACATCTACAACTACGTGCTGTACCGCCAAAGAATGCTTACAATAAGAGGCGGATCGCAGACACCCGCAAAGCCGAGGTCATGGTTCGCTCTTGGAAACGCGACACTCTTCGCATTAACGCGCGAAGCGTCTAACTTCTCTCTCCACATACCACTAAAGGGTCGCGTACTCAGATTACCAACAGTCGGCCGATCGTCCTTGGTTTCAGCAAACGTAGTAGTCCTAGTCGTCCTATGTTTGTACGGCTTCGATGTGACGGACCAGTTCAGTATGGAAAATATTGGCTTCCGTTGCGGTGTGGTTACGATCGCCCAACTACCTATCATCGTCCTACTAGCGGGCAAGAATAATGTAATAGGGTGTCTTAGTGGTGTCAGCTATGAACGTCTCAATTGGCTTCACCGGTGGTGCGCTCGATGTATGCTTCTCACAGCTACTATGCACATGGGGTACTTCTTCAGTGCCTGGGCACCGTACGACTACATTGGCTACCAACTCAAGAACAACAAGATTGTGTGGAAAGGCCTTGCCGCCTGGTGCACGCTGGCGTGGATCGTCTTCAGCTCTATGACACCCATTCGTGGCTGGAACTACGAAATATTCGTTATCCAACACATCGTCTCCTTTGCGGTATTCCTTGCGTTCGTTTACATTCATACCCCTATCGAAATGAACGGCTATGTTTGGGCACCCGTTGCCTTTTTCCTGTTTGACCGTGTCTTCCGCGCGCTCCGACTACTATACATCAACACATCCTTCTTCCATCCATCGTTGAAGAAGCGGGGTCAGATCGATGGCTTCTGGGTATGCAAAGCTGAGTTCACACCCCTTCCACACAACACCACACGTATCGTTGTCACCAACCCTCCTATCGGCTGGACTCCTGGCCAGCATGTATACCTATCTTGCCATTCCCTAGTACCACTCCAAAGTCACCCGTTCACCGTGGCATCGATCCCAGAAGATGGAAGGATGGAGTTCTATGTCAAGGCTGAAAAAGGCGGGACAAAACGTTTCTTTCGGCATGCTGAGAGATCTGGCAGTCTGGTTGGAGTGACTGCGAAAGCCAGAAACGTGGTCATAGAAGGCCCCTATGGCACTCTGAGACCACTTCGTCAATTTGACAGCGTCGTTCTCCTGGCGGGCAGCACCGGTGGAACCTTCACCCTTCCGCTCCTACGCGATCTACTCCAAGGCTGGAAGGAGAATGCTCGTGATAGCCCAGGCAGCACTTCGTTCTTGAAAGCGCCAACTGGCGCCGTCACACGATATATTCGCTTCGTATGGGTAGTTAAGAGTAGAGGTCAACTCAGTTGGTTCTCTGAGCAACTTTCCTCCATATATACCGAGTTCGAAGCGCTACAAGAAAAACTTCGCGACATCAAGCTCGAGATGACGGTGTACATCACCTGCGACGAATCCTTTACCGAAGAGCACAATTCTTTACTCTCGGGTGTGACAGCACCCAACACGAACGCAGCACAGCAGCAGAAGGAATCTGAGCACGGCGCAGTGCAGTACAGATCGCCTCAACAGATGACAACAGAAAGTAGCACGACAAAATCAGAGAAGGAAGGTTATCAAGAAGTCGCGTCTCTCAATTCTGAAAGCCTCGATATTCAACAAACGTCCTGTGGTCCGAACAGCACATGCTGTTGCCGCGCTGCCATCGACGAATCGGAGTCTTCTCCAGCGGGTAAAACCGTATGTGCCTGCTCGAAACCCAAAGCTAATGCATCATCTCGCCCTACTTCCTTCGTACCTTCTACTCCATCATCTCTCGAACCAAGTAAAAAAGTTGTCGTACATCCTGCGATAGCGGTATACTCGGGTCGACCAAGAACACGAGATATTATACGCAGGTCATTGGAACAGGCGCTGGGAGAAAGTGCTGTGGTGGTGTGTGGGCCGCAGGGGTTGGTGGCGGATGTGAAGCAAGATGTCGTTTGCTTGAGCGATGAGAGGGCAGTGCATAAAGGAACGGGCGCGCAAGGCGTATACCTGCATACCGAGAGCTTTGGGTGGTGATACCCCCAACGACCAATAAGTGTTCGTTGAATCTGTCACATCGTGAATGTTCTCTCATCCGTAAATGAAGTATGGTAGTGGTAACATTCGTTGCGGAGAAATAAATAAGACTATAGATGCAAACCGTTTCATGACGGTGCAACGCCTCAACGCCTATCCAATCCAGTCCACAATATCGCCCAAAAGATGCTAGTATGCTGGCGAGAAGATGTGATGATAAAAAACAAAACCAGATGCAGTGATGACAAAGGGAAGAGATGGTAGATAGGACGCGACCCAATGGCTCGCTTTCAATCCACAATCATCAACGCCGAAACACCACTCCGTTTGATGAACAAAGGAAATGGTATCTGCCCTCCAGTTTCCCAACGCCATGAGAAGTGTAAACCAACACACCCATTATCTACTCCTCGTCGTGTCGTTGTAAGTGTCGTAATCGTTCCGGAGCTGTTACAGATCGTCCGTCCTACCGGACCATGCGTTTGCTGCGGACAATGAAGGGAGATGGCATCTCCGGCTCGGTCTCTGGATCCCATACTGCAGGCGGACTGATACCGCCAGTCCTCTTGACAGGACTCCTTCGGCCACCATATCCGAATCCTTTCTTCGCGCCACCCTCGTCTTCACTCATAGTGTGCACAGGGATACCGCGGGCTTGTTGAAGCTCGACCAATGTGCGACCCTGAACACCGCCGTTGTTGCGCATCGCTTGCACACGGAACGCCTCGTTGCCCTTCTTTGACGGGAGACCAGCAAATGGTATGGACTTTGTTGTGGCGCCGGTCTTTCGCGGCGACGTCGATGGGTTGTCGGTGGACCTGGCCTTCTGTCGAGAAGGAGATGCAGCGACAATGGGTACGGCAGAAACGGGGCGAGGCTTCGTAGTTCTGGGACCCAACAGGTTTGGTGTGCTTCCGAGCCGGGCGTTCGCCTTCAGTAGTGGTGCTTGAGCGTTCGCGAGCACCTTGAAAGGGTCTTCACTCATAGGACGACCGCCAGAGGCGCTTCGTGCGCGGGTTGGAGATGGCAGCACGGGAAGGTCGTCGTCATCGTCGAAGTCGGCATTCCACTCAGCTTCAGTGGGCGAAGGAGGAACATCGGCTTCCCACTTTTTGGCACCTTCCTTGGCCGCAGCGAAGATGTTCTGTTTAGGTTGCTGGTTGCGACGGGGGGAAAGAGAAAGTCCCTTGAGTGAGGCAGGCGCGGGCGATGGCTCGGCCATCTGAACATCCATGGGAGAATCGGGTACTTGTGTGGTGGAAGGCTGGGAGAACATTGTGCGGGCGCGAACAAGGGGGCCCCGAGACGGTCGCTTTGCCTTTGGTTTGGATGCAATGGTGACGTCCTCGGTGTGATCATCTAGGGAGAGTGACGAAAGGTCTGTTCCACTTGCGAAGTCGGAATCTGTGTTGAGCGTGTTCTGGGAAGTGTTTGTAACGGTACCTTCAGCCTCTGCTGAGAACAAAGCCGAAGGCTCGGTTGCCGCCATGGTGGGTGTGTTTGAACGAGGAGCCAGCTTTGGTGATGTGCTCAGACGGTTGGGGTACATCTTCAAAGCGCGCTCTACCCGCCTGTTGACCTCGCCCTCAAACGTCGCCTGAAGGTGCGCCAGCTCTTTTTGTACCCGCTGCTCTGTTTGGAGCTTCACTTGCCTCTCGATCTCCAATTGTGCCTTGACTTCCCACTCTCGTCGTAATTGGTCGTCCAATTCTTTACGAATACGTGAAATGGCCTCGCTTGCTTCCTTCTCTCGCTTCGCTGTGAGCATACGTTGCTCTCGGAGATCTTGTCCCAGCTTGACGACCTCCTGCTCTTTGCGCATGAGCTTGACAATGGGCAGGTTGAGAAGGGCGGCAGTGTCTGGCCTGTGATCGGGTGTTGTGTTGAGGCAGCTGGCGATGACTTTTCGGAGCTCTGCTGAATAACAAGCAGGTATGTCAGGGTATCGACCTAGCTTGATCTTGGAGATGAGTTCAAAGTGAGTCTTCGCGTTGAAGGGAGGTGACTTGGTGCACATCTCGTATATGATGCAACCGAGTGCCCAAATGTCGGAATGGGGCCCATATTGCTCCGCCTTGCAAATCTCGGGCGACATGTAGAAAGGGGTACCAACGTAGGTAGAGGCGAAATCGTGCGATTGGAGGATCTTGGACAGACCGAAGTCGCCCAGCTTGACACTGTTGTCGTCTCCGAGGAAGACTGCGGGCTGTTAGGACAATCAAGCGACAAGATAAGGACCAGACACTGACTGTTTTCAGGCTTGAGATCTCTGTGGAGAATCATAGGCTTGCGTGGGTCACGGACTGGCTTCGCGTTGCCAACCAGGCCCATGACGTTGCGGCCTGCCGCAGGGGGGTCTTCGCCATAATGGCAGCGGTACAAGGCGCTGACGATTTGGCTGAAAATGCTCCAGACAAACTCCTCCTCACAAACTTGGTTCTTGTTCTTTAGGTCTCGAATGACGCGTCCGAGGTCGCCGTTTCCGCAGTATTCCATGTAGAGGTGGAGGTCTTGCGATGCCTTGATGTGGTCGCGTTCGAAGTAGGCGACAATGTTGGGGTGTCGGAGCTCCTTCAGGATGGACAGCTCAGCCTGCAGCTGCTCGCGTTCCTTCTGCGACATCTTAAGATAGCTGATTTCCTTGCGGCAGAGGATCTAGGCGGCGGTTAGCAAGTCGCGTGCGCAGGCTCTGTCGTGGTTGCATACATAGCCATCTGACTTTCGCTTGACCTTGCGAATGATACCAAAGGACCCATGGCCTATACAATGTCAGTACGCGTCTCCCGTCGTGTCCCAAGGTCCGGCCGTACCAATCTTCTCGAGCACATCGTACTTTTCTTCCTCGGGCATGGTGAAGGTATTGCTATTGCTCAAAAGACATGCAACTATGGAATGTAGGTAAGGGTAGCAAGCTGCTGGGTTAGTAGAGGTCGAAGGTAGTGACGGGTGTAGATTATGTACAATGAATGGGTGGGATGGAAGCCAGGTTTCCTTGGTGTTTGGGCCTGTTTACGCTAACGCCCGTCAACCCAGCAACGCCCACGTTTTGCAGTTGCCAGGTGGGACGCACCCCCGTCGCCGGCCTTATCGATAGCACGCCGATCTACGCCGCCACTCGTCATCGCATAACAATCAGTAGTCACTCTCGCAATATGTCGGGGCCAGCGAATGAATCCACTTTTTTGCCACAGCCATGGACGTCAAGAAGAAGTACGAGATCGAGGCGGCCCTCGCGACAGAAGCCCAGGCCATCTCGTCGGGCCAGCTCAAGGAAGAGAACCCGCTAGACTTGAGCGATGATTTCAGGGTCTTTTGTGAGGCATGTCGGAGGGGAGACTTGAAGGTTTGCCAGGAGATGATCTCGACGGGTGTGAACATCAACGCCAGGGATAAATTCGATTATACACCTCTTATCCTAGTAAGACACCCTTCTGCTTTGTCTCGACACTTTGTTGCCTGAACAAGAGCAATGCGCTGACCGCTGAAGGCTAGTCTCTGCGGTCACTACGAAGTCATAAGGTTGCTCCTTGAAAATGGCGCACTCTGTGAAAGAGACACTTTTCAAGGGGAACGATGCCTGTACAACGCCCTCAACGACCGTATACGCAATTTGCTATTGTCCTACGATTACGCCAAAGCTTCCAATCCCCTCCAACCGCTGGCGGCGCACATTACTTCACTCCTCACGAGGACTTCGCCTAAGACGACGGATATCACAATCACAGCCTATGGTCAAGAATTTCATCTTCATAAATTCCTCCTCGCGGCACGATCGCCGTACTTTGCGAAGAAGCTGGAAGCGGCACCGAACACAACCTCGTGGAAGCTACCAAATACCATACCCGCAGAGTCGCTAGGCGTGGCATTGCAGTATCTCTACTTCCAAGAAGTCTCAATACGCAGAGCGTTACATGGATTAAGTGATGAGCAGGAGCTAGTGGTGCTAAGCGGCATCGAGAAGATTGGCAAGCAGCTAGAGATAGAACGTTTGTTCGAAGATATTACAGAAGTCTCGGATCGAAGATTGTTGCGTCAGCGACGCGCGGAAGAACTGGAACGGGGTCGAGATCAACTAGAAGGCTGGTTCAAGAACAACGTCCTCCGGCACAAGCGGGTCGTGGACACTGCAAAGGTGGACAACATACAATGGGACAGGGAGAACTCCATCTTCGCCGACATACTACTGCGTGCCGATGATGATGACGAGGATCAAGATTCTGAGGGCACCGATCGGTCACCAGGGCCATCAGAGTCATCTACGCCACCCGTGCGAAACACTCCAGGGCCTCTGTTGGGAATACCAGTCGGACCTGGTCGCGCACGTTCGAGGTCGCCTTCGCGTCAACAAGCGCCTCGTAAATCAACCATATTCCCGGCACACCGAGCTATGCTATTGCGTTCTGAGTACTTCCTGACCATGTTCAGCTCACAGTTCAAGGAAGCACAAGACACACCGCATCTGCAGATTGTGACCATCGACTGCTCGCCAGCAGTTTTGGAGACTATCCTTACATTCATGTACACCGAACGTGCTGACTTTGGTTTGGATATTGCAATCGATGTGCTCTTTGCGGCAGATCAGCTCTTCATCGAGAAGCTGAAGCAACGCGCCGCCATTATCATTTCCGCACTGGGTAATGGCGCAACCTCAGCAGTCGAGTCAGATAACCCACGGGGTGCTACAGATGCAGATGAAGCAGTGGATATCTATGAAGTCATCCGAGCCGGGTGGGACACAAGAGTACAGCGGCTTGAAGAGTTTGCTGCGCGATACATCGCCTACCGGCTGGAACACTACATAGACCAACCTGAGTTTGCAGAGCTAGTCCAGGAATCTGCAAATCGCGTCAAAGCACGTCAAGAGACTGATACTGTCGAACTCGTCGACGACATCCGATACTACCTGTCGGAACGATTCAGGCTTCGCTTTGAGGACAGCGGGCTGGATGAGATGATGGATGAGAACGCAGCTATGCAAGCCAGTACCGATGGAGATCTTGTTGATGCCATGGGCGATTTTGCGCTAGAGGACGGTATACCTAATAAGGTGCAGCAAGATGAGAACATGGCGTCGGTCGAGCAGCAAATTGCTGCTGGTGTCATTAGAAATCTGGATGGCGAGGAAGTCGGTGATGAATTTGCTCAAGATGCGATGAATTATCAAATCCTACTAGGGAAGATAGATACGTTGCTTGAGAAGCTAAACTTGGATGCTTAGACAGAGAATCCAACCAAGCTTCATGCTAAATGCAAATTCACTTGCATGGACCGTAGCCCTTTAGGCACACGGTCTTGCCGTCGTGCCGCAAAATACAGAGGCGCAACACCCCTGCCTAACCGCACTTATCGACACAGTTGTATCTCCAGCACGTATCCAGACCTCAGGTAGATGTTTAGCGAATGTTGAAAATCATTTGCTCTCTAGAAATACGCCCCGTTTCTATGAAACCTTCTCCATCCACCTGTCCCCCACATTGGGAGAATACCTCCTATTAGATTTCTTGGCCGTTTTCACATCGACTCGCATCATTATGACATCTGAATTGGTACACGACTATATCCGTAATGACCTCTTATGCCGACTACGGTGGAATTTGTTGGCCGACTTGCACAACATCGAAATTGTGGTGGGGCCTGAAAACGAAGAGAAGACAGCCCGCTATATGACCACCTCTCTGCGAATGATGACATCAGTGAGCCTGGTCTGAGCCTCATTGAGGTGAGCAGCAGCGAATGTCTCGAAAAGTTCGACCTCTCGTACAATTCTGACCCAGAGCCCGACGGTTATCGGCCCTTACCCTCTCTCATCGTTTCGAACGAAGATGGAAGGTCTATTACGTTGAGGCAATTTGTTACCGAAGTTCATGCTTGCCTGAACGAGCATTTGAACGAAGTCAAAAGCGCTCAGAGTGCAATGGCCGCGACGCCTTGGTCAGAGACGATGCTGTTCTACCGGTGTGCCTGGCCAAGGAGAACCGATGGTGGTAACATCATTGTGAACGTCGAATTAATGCCTCACGCTCGGGATGCCGGATGTAGAGAGAAGCTTTGGGCTGCTCAACTGATACAGGCCCATGCGTGCGAACAACGGCGACGGGCTTGGGCGCCGCGAAATGCGAGCAGTGCACTTACTTTTTTCTGATCACTTCCACAGTCCATGGCACAGGTCAACCAGTTGGGAAATCAGTCTCGATACCTGTGAGGACGAGGAATACGCGTCAGTAACAGTCAGTGGATGCTACAATTCTTCTCTTTGGATGGATGCCATGGTCCCTGCCTGCCATGAAGCGTACATCATCTTCCAACTATACTCAAGGGAAACCGCAATCACTAGTCACTACATGAGGTTCCAAAGGCCCCCCTAATTTGTCTAGCATGTTATTTAATGTACCGTTACGGAGCAGGAAAAGCATCCTAGATGAGCTGAAATGGGCCTGGAAGTCTGGAGCCATACTAGGGGGTACGCTGGCGTAGGGAGTATAAGGCAGGTATTTTGTCAAGCCTGGTTAGCAGAATGAAAATCAAGCTTTCTGTACCAAAAGCATTCAATCCATCTATGGCGCTGGTAGCCAGACTGATTTGCAGTAGGCGATGCTGTCTTAGTTGAACCTACTTCATCATAGCTATTGGTGACATCATGGTGGGGTTCGGTGCGCAGCTCCCCGCCAAATAGTCGTTGACAGCTTGACAAATACCGTAGCAACTCATAATGCGCGTCATTGCCCGAGCGACCTCAACTCTTCAAACTCCAACGACTCGGCTCTTACCTCAACACTTGGGAAGAGCTTCAATCGCAAGGCCGCGACTATTCACAAGCTATCAAGCAATACCAACGCGCAAAGTACTTCCAAAACAACACATTGCCAATATGTCGACCGAATCTACACAGTCGCAGGCATGCTGCAACACACCTGCGGTGGTCAGTAAAGGCTACCAGCCAAAGGGTGATTATATTGAGGTAGACGGATTGAAGACCTGTACGTCCAACACCAAGACATCACGTCACGTCCCAACTAACTTGTACAGACCAGACCGGTCCCAAGGACGCAAAACAAGGAATTCTAGTCGTCTACGACATTTTCGGATTCTTTAATCAAACACTGCAAGGCGCTGATATCCTGGCTTACACCGACAGCCAGAAGTACCAAGTTTTCATGCCTGATTTCTTCGAGGGCAACCCAGCCGACATCTCCTGGATGCCGCCAGATACCAAGGAGAAGGAGCAAAAGATGGGGGAGTTCTTCAAGTCGCAAGCTGCGCCTCCGAAGACACTGCCGCGCATTCCGAAGATTGTCGACGAGCTCAGCCAGAAGAACGGCATTGAGAAGTGGGCTATCATTGGCTTCTGCTGGGGCGGAAAGGTATGAACAAAGTGATTCAACCTTGATGCATGTGCTAACACCGCACAGATTGTCAATTTGTCGTCCATGGAAGGCACAAAGTTCAAGGTCGCCGCTGCGTGCCACCCCGCCATGGTTGCTGGCGACGACGCTCCCGGCATCAAGATCCCCTACATCATGCTTCCTTCGGGCGATGAGCCTAAAGACGATGTTAAGAAGTGGGAGGAGGGTATCAAGGTTCCTCACGTTGTAGAATGGTTCCCAGACCAGATTCACGGCTGGATGGCGGCACGCAGTGACCTTGAGCAGGAGAAGGTTAAGAAAGAGTATGAGCGTGGGTATAAGATGGTGTTGGACTTCTTCCACAAGCACATGTGAGTTTGACACGAGAGCTGCGGTAGTGTAGAGTCGGATGCTGAGTTGGCTAGGGGTTCCGAGGCGAAGCTCTAGTGTGAAGGTAAGCAATGTCGACAAGGAATAATATATATGATTTTATGACACGAAAATGCTGTTCCAAGACTGTAAACAGGATGATGAGAGGAGGGTGTGGGGCTCTTAGCCGTGGGGTTACTCCATGGGGCCGTGTGCATTGGCGTGCCCAGGTGGAACGGCGGTTTAAAGGCCGAGGGCACGTCGGCAATTGATCACGTTGTGGACGAACATGTCGCAGATTATCTAGGAGCATTGGGCGTACTTCGGCTTACTTTTGTCGCGACTTATCCTTTCGGTGTGTTTCTGTGTTTTGCTCTCGTACATTCTCCAGCCACGAGACATAGAAAGCACATCTCATCATGGCTCTCGGTGCGTGTTCCCATTTCGTGCAGCCACAGCCGCGGCGCGCTTGTCACGTTAACCCCCAACCATGTCTCTACCCAACTCACGTCGTGCATCTAAACTGACCCGGCTTTGAAGCACCCGTAGCAGGCGCAATTGCAGGCGTTACCGCAGCTGCCGCCTACATCGACGCCAAATACCACATCACCAAAGACCTCAAGAGCCAACGCGTCCTGAAGGCGGCCGCGCGCGACCTCGAGAGAAATGGTAAGCCCGAGCTCTGTAGACTGTCCGTCTGCTGGATTCTAACAAGACACCAGCACAAGGCAAGGGCCAGTCTCTGTGGTACCAATTCGAAGCCCAAGTCCGCCGCCTGCCCTCGACCGAAGAATGCATCTGGTCTCGCACCGGCTGCTACACATGGGCCGAAACCTACGCCAATGCCTGCCGATATGGCCAATACCTCCGCCAAAATGGCCTTGTCCCCGGTCAGCTCTTCGCCATGTACATGATGAACCGCCCCGAATTCGTGTTCGCACATCTCGGTAGCTGGAGCGTAGGAAGCGCGCCAGCGTGGATCAACTACAACCTCGCAGGCGATGCGCTGGTGCACTGTTTGAAAGTGAGTGGCGCCAAGGTGCTGCTTGTGGACGAGGATCAAGAGTGCAGAGATCGTATCGAAGCTGTGAGAGAGAGGCTGGAAAACGAACTGGGCATGACTGTCCTGGTCCTCGACACGGCTCTGAAGGGAGAGATATCCAGGCTGGAACCCGCGAGGCCCGAGGATGAGCTTCGGGTGGGCATGAAGGGGAAGTTCCCCCTCTTCCTGTTCTATACAAGGTCAGTGAGCATCATGGCAGTTGTTGCTGGAGCTGTGCTGATTATGACAGTGGCACAACTGGACACCCAAAAGCTTGTCCTTTCGAAACCCAGAGAGCAGTCGGTTTGACTCAACGTGTAGGTGCAATGGGGCTCAAGTCCGGGCCCAACGGCGACAGATGGTATGTCTGCATGCCTCTATATCACGGCACCGGAGGCACTACAGCACTCGTCTGCATGGTTACCGGTCTCACATGCTGTATCGGAACCAAGTTCTCGACATCCAGGTTCTGGACCGACGTACGTGATTCGAGATCTACCGCCATCGTCTATGTAGGAGAGACCGCTCGCTACCTTCTCAACGCCCCTCCAACCGATCTGGATCGGAAGCACAATGTCAGAGCCATGTTCGGAAATGGCCTTCGCCCTGACGTATGGCAGCGGTTTGTTGACCGCTTCGGCATCGAGGTCGTTGGTGAATTCTTCAACAGCACAGAAGGCGTCATGGCGCTGTTCAACGGTTCTCGTGGACCCTTTACCGCCACATCAGTCGGCCACCAGGGTATCATCGATCGCTGGCGAACCCACAATACCTACGTCCCCGTTGAAGTCGATATCGTGACAGGAGATCTCCTCCGTGATCCCAAGACCGGCTTCTGCAAACGAAAGGCCTACGAGGAGGGAAGTGAGATTCTCGTCCAGATGCCAAGCGAGCAAGCTTTTGTCGGCTACTGGAACAACCCCGATGCCACAGAGAAACGCTTCGAGCGCAATGTCTTCAAGAAAGGCGACCTCTATTACCGCACTGGCGACGCACTCCGCCGCGACGCTGATGGCCGTTGGTTCTTCATGGACCGCCTCGGTGACACCTTTCGCTGGAAATCTGAGAACGTCAGTACAGCAGAAGTCAGCGAAGCACTTGGCTCCTTCCCAGGAATTCAAGAGGCAAACGTTTATGGTGTCGAAGTGCCTGGCTTTGATGGTCGAGCAGGCTGTGCAGCCATTTACATCGATCCTGCTCATCTAGACTCCTTCAATTTCAACGCGCTGCTTGCGCATGCGAAGACGAAGCTGCCAAAGTACGCAGTACCTGTGTTTTTGAGGGTCCAGAAACAACAAACGACAATGCATAACAACAAGCAGAACAAGGTTCCATTGAGGAACGATGGCATCGATTTGAGGAAGCTTATGGAAAGGGCGGACAAGGAAGCCAAGGAGCAAGGGAAAGAAGAGGTAGAGTACGACACCATGTACTGGCACCCTGCTGCTCTTGGATCTGGCAAGGGCAAGACTAGTAGCGACGACGGCTATGTTGTTTTTACCATGGCGGACTGGGATTTGCTTAAAGGAAGCGTGGATGTAGAGGGCGGTGCCAAACTATGAGCTTTCCGTTTTCATGCGTGCTTGGAGTTTTTAGCTAGCGTTCTTGTTTCGAATAGATAGTACATCTACGTCCCGACCGAATCCTAACGATGCACTTGGTGACCATGAATGGCAGACCTGGGATGAATTTATATCTTCTCAAGAACAACCACACATCGCAGGACAACGTTTCATATCACTAGAGGACTCTCGATGAATTCATTACACTAGTATCTCACATTAATTATCCTTGACTACATCCCTCCCTAGGCTGATATATCGCCTGTGTTCTTAACGATGAACGGACTTTCCACATGCAGCACGGTTGAGCAACATTGCGTGAAACTGCCTATCTTCTTCAACAGATACAAGCAACATCGTAGCAACAGTCGATATGAGATTGGAGTATATCGCATCTGTAATCTGATATATAGACTGCTGCACTGGCAGGGCGACTCAGACGAAATCTACTACTAGTTGAGCTCCCTTTGAAGTCTCGTACTCTTATTGGTTTAGCTATTTGATCGAATCGTTTGAACGTAGGTAAGCAGTAGTAGTAGGTTGTAGTTGCAATATTTATCAGTTCTGATGATGCAATCCGTGCGCGTTGAACTAGAATACGTAGTACAGTCAACAACAAAATACTGTGATCGCTTGTTTGTTGATACGATTATTCATGTAACTCAAAAAGACCAGTTTATGCCATTCCATGCCACTGAACTCGTACCACTAAACTATGAAATCGTACGTAGAGGTCCCCTCTCCCTCGCAATCCTCATATGGCTGTTCTTCATCACCATATAAATTCCTCAGCGTAGATTGGAAACTTTGAATCCCACCAATCAGTGTTGCCCGTTCCTCTTCTACGCTTCCAACGTCGAAGACTACTTCTTTCCGAGCGTGACCTTGGCCAAACCAAATAGATCCGTTGCTCTCGCTCCAGTTTGTTCTTACACCGTCCTCCAAGCCTCGTCGGCAGAACGCAAGTAGTTCTGCGTGTTGCTTCTGCTGGATTGGCGCATGCGCATCGCCAATGTACGAGGGAATCGTCTCCGGCGTTGTGCCTTGGAGGAGTTTGATGACGAAGATGCTGAGTTGGTCGATATATGTAATGAGCGGTGGTTGGCTGGGACATGCAGAGGGCATAGTGCGACTGCATATATACTCCAACGGTGGAAGAATCGATTTCATAGCATTCATCATATGCGCAAGTGCAGCGATGACATGGGATTGCTGGAGCCAGTGCTGACTGTCCTTGAGTTGTTCTGTTCCGCGGATGAAGGCATGCGAAACCGATACGATACAATCCAGTGCGGATATGAGACTGTCAGGCTGAGTGATACGGAGATCGAAAATCATCGTATCTAGAAACGAGGGCAGCGCTTGCAATATTGGCCTAACGATGGCAAAGGTTGTGCTTGATGAGAACGCTTCTTCTAGGTACGCCGGAAGGATGCCCTGCAGCAGTACTGATCGCAGTGCAACCCTGTCAGGAGTTGGTGCCTCGTCAGTACACAGAGCAGTCGTGAGCTGGCTGACAAGGTAAATCTGCTGGTTATCGGCAGCAGCCTGTTGCACGACCGTCTGTATGAAGACTGATAGTTGTTTCGCAATTCCTGTGTCTGACAGTTTAGGCGCATACCCACAAAGGCGTGCCACGACATAAGTGGGATCCCCAGCTGGTAGTGGGAAAGCGACGGAGTCCGTGAAGAAGGGTAGGACGGGACAGATATCGTTTGTATACTGCTTGAGGAACTGAACGATCTTCTGCACGAACTCGACGTAAGCGCCGGTCACCATCGTACCCTGACGAAGCTGCTGATAGTTGTACTTCATCGTTGTCATAAAGTCCTTCAGCATAGACGCGTACGATCTCTTTATGTTAGCAAGGCGCGCCGGCTCAGCTTGAGCAACCGATCGAACGTCGTCGCGCATATTCGACAGAATACTAGAGATAAGCGCAAGGCGTCGCGTACGTAGAGTATCAGCGGTGATATCCCACTCATTGGTATCTGTATTGCGGAAGAAGGGTAGGTTCTGCATAAGTGGGTGATGATCATCTGTTCGCGCGATGGCATAAAACAGTCGATGCTGGAACCTGAGCAAAGACTCTCGCTCAACCAAGCATACCATTAGGGCTTGGAGGAAATCGTGGTGATGCTCTTCGTAAGCGATCGAGTCGCAGTCGATAAGAGCGGCCATGAAGTATGGGCCGAATTTACGCGTCTGCTCGGTGTGCCGTAGCTGTCTCCATGATACCTGACTGAACGAATCCAAGTAGTACGTCCATGACCTATCACCTGACGCTACCTGACCTTCTGCGATCAGAACCCATGTGTCAACGCAGTCCATGAGGAGGTTGTCGTCAGGGGAGTTTTCCGCGCCAAAAGCGTTGGACAGCAGGTGCCAGAGGGGCTTCTGAATGAAGTCGAGGCCTGATTCCTGGATGACCTTTGCGGGGACGTCAGAGTCGATGCCTTCCAAGTCATCCATGTCGGGGAAGTCGCCGTAATCCTGGCTTTCGTCACTCGTTTGTTGACTCACGTCCCTCTTCACATGGGCTTTTTGTAACTTTGCAAAGCTCTGGAGAACTTTCATAGTGTCGCGAATGATGCTGACAAGGCGCCGATCTTCTAGATGAGGGAGCTCAAGCAGGCACATAATGTCGGAATCAATGAGGAGGGCTCTCATGGATAAGTGGTCTCTTGCATGAAGGATTGCTCTATTCATCCCGGCAATGCAGTCTCGTAGTGTCGCAATGACCTGCTCCTGGTTTCTCTCCATTGTTTGACGGACCATCACTGCGGAGATATCAGTAGTACCATCTAGAACGCCAGACTTCAAGTAGTCATCTGCCTCGGTTTTGGCCAGCTTGTACTGTCTTAGTGTTTGATGCATGATGTCTTTGTACCATAATGCGAACGGTCGTGCAGAGGTGTACGGCTCCTCGGTCGATAGTTGAAATGTGGCGAGGTTGGCCCAGGCTCGAACGCTGACTCTACAGGCCTCGCGGTGAGAGCTTTCGTGACTGACAAGATCGCGAATGTGATCCAATTTCGGACGACAGGTTGGCGGCGCAGCAAAGTAGAGCGTGGAAAGTAGGTCATGATGATTGCGGAGTGCTACCAAATTCTCTTCGTCTAGAGGCTGATCTTTTGGATAAGCACGCCCGTGGTTAGGTAGAGACCGAAAGACAAAGCTGCGAATCTTCTTCTCTGGGTAAGCGTTTGTCATACCCCGGAGGCCCAGAGCAAGACATGTCAGTGCGATGTGGAAGGAATTCTCGTTTTGCTCGATGACGAACGACGGTGATGTTGCAAGATTGTTGAGAAAAGGTACCGATCGGTCCCCTGATTCCCGTCGCAGGTTCTTGAGGCCATTCTTACCGAAGAAGTCCAACACGGCATTAAGCATCAGCTCCGGACGACTCCAATGCCAGTGAGTGATCAACCGGTGGCATCGTGCGAGGTTAGCACGAACATAGTCGTTGAGTGACGCGCTGTGCTTCCTATAGGTACTCGGATATAGTTCAAATAACCGACGTAGGAGATCCCGGATACACTTCCAATTATCCTTCTGGAAGGTCTCTCTCCGGCTTTTAAGCGGAATGCCCGATGCATCGATCTCGTTGTAGGGGAGGAAAGTGAATATCGAAGCCCACGTAGCTTCGAAAGTAGGCAAAGATGTGGCATTGGCGAGTCTAGAGCACAGGTCTTGGCCTACCAAATCCCAGAAATTACATGCTGGCATGTCCATCTCATCCAATACATGAGTGCAGATGACTATACTTTCAACGACAATTTCATTCTCTTGTATCCCCTTCTCGCGTACGGAGCGTCGCTTATTTTGGTCCAGAAACTTGCCTAGATTGGGTATACCATGTCGCACCAGCTGCGTGGTGATAGTCTTAGACAGGTTCTTGACAAGACCAACAAGCTCGACTCGATTGCCTTGATCAACAGTAGGATGTTGAGCAATACAATGAATCTGAAAGCTCGCGACGAGGATGTAGGCCATAGCATGTATGACGCCATGAACGCCGCTAGAATTCTGACAAGCCGTAGTTCTCTGAGCAACCGACAAGCTGTCAAAGAGCGATTGGTAGAGCCGCATTAACTTAAACACACAGTCATTTCGATCGATCGGGTCTAAGAAGCTGAGATGATCAGTTACCCAGTTGATGAGTGACCGTGTCAACCGAATCAATTGCGTCAAACCCTCATTGACTGACGATGGGATATGACGTTCAGCTTCCTGGTCTTCCAAAGGCTCAGACGCCGCTTTTACAAGGTCTTGCAACTTTGAAAACGTGTCGTCATTCCATGGGCCGCATCTGATCGAAAGAGCACCATGGGCAATAGTGCAATGACCAGCCGGATCATCAAAGCTGCGACCGTCGGGCTTGCTGATGACTAAAGCTCGGCGAAATTCGTCAGACCCGATAAAAGTAGACGAATGAAAATACGTGTCAGCCGCTAGCGAATATACATCGAATGTGACGGGGTATCGAGTACCATAAGGACCCAGTCCATGGAGTATGGGTGAGCCTTGTTCAGTCTCAGCGTCCTGTACTTGAAGAACATCAGCAGTCTTAAGTATCTCCTGGACTGCCGGCTCGCTCGGCTGTCGATATTCCCGCGCATCGACATCAATTCTTTGCGCTTGGACCTTTCGCTTCAACCGTTTTCTGGGTGGAGGGTGCTGGTGTCTCGAACCTTCTGTTTGGCCTTCCCCTACCTCGTTTGCAGAAGGGAGAGGTGGCAGTTCAATGCCGTCATCTGCGAGATATCGAGCTAATTGTGGATTTACGAAAAGCTCTTTGCTAGGAAGCTGAATACCGAACTCCTGATCAACACGTAACAGGCCCTTTTCGAATGCGATTTTCCGGTGACCTCGGCCAAAGTCGTTCTCATCGCCTTCTAGTTGTGCGGTTCTGAAAGGAAGAGGCGCCCGACGTACAACCCGTCCTGGATCTCTGTTTGGCTGAGCACGTTTCTTCCCTGTTTTTGTGGACATCTTAATCTGATTCTGGGTTGTAGAGCGTTGGAAAATGTGAAGATCTGTAGGAATGCATTTACGGGAACGTGAGCGAGAGACGTCGGTCGCAGCCTCGGATCGCGTGTCGAGCTCTTTCAAAGATCCTCCGTCATTCACTGGAAGCTGCTCTGCATGCTGCTGATTATCGATCCCATTGATCAAAGGATGTCGTGATTTTTGTTGTTGCGATGGGACATTTGCCTTTGGTCTAATTGTGCCTCGTTGCCATTGTTTGAGAGTAACATTGGCCTCTTCTGTATCTTCGGCATTTTGGAGTCGTATTTGTTTGTTTCGCGGCTTTTGACGGGCTAGATCTGGTCTTTGGAGCGCTTGCCGCCTGGCAATGCGGAGGAATTGCGGTATTGCATCGCCTTGCCGAGATGGCGAGAGATCAGCATCTATGACACTCATGGCAGGCAAAGGAGTCTTGCGTGGTCTTCTGGAGTTAGCTTGCTTCTTCTTTCCGGTCTGCCCGTTGAGCAATCGTTGTTCATAGGCTACACTCTTCCCTAGACCGTCCGACGATCTAGCTTTCTTAGACTTTCCAAATGCATCTGTAAGCTTAGTCCGTCTTTTCCGTTTCGGTCCGGTTCCACCAAGTGTCGGAAGGGGAAGACGATCGTGCTCCATGTCCGATAGATTGTCGTTAGCATAACGATCCTCAAACAGTGCAGCTAGTGCAGAAGCGTCAGCCATGGAATCGTGCACCGTTTCCAAATGATGGCTGATATGAGGTCTTGGCTCGTCATCTGAATCGTCTGATATGACAACGGAAATTCTTGATGGCGTTTTAGAAGCTGCATCTTGTCGGGGTCGGCCGGCTGGTCTCATGATCCTTTGAGCAACCCCACGCACAGGCGCAGTAGGCTCGGGAGAGGCAGCTGTGTTCGTACGCACCCGGTCTCGTTCGCGTTGCTCAGCCTGCCGTCGCTCCTGTGCTTGACGATCTTGTCGCAACCACGAAGCAGGCAACACTCCCTTAATCTTTCTGCCCACGTATCTGATCTCGTTGTCGCTTTTCTCCGCTTCACTGGCAGACTCTGCAGCCGAAGATGAGCTGTCCGTTATCACTACCCTGGTCGGTCGACGAAGCTGTCCACCGGACCTCTGCATATTACGTGGGGCCTGCTCGATGTCTGATCCCATCAGAATTTGAGGATCTTCTTGCATGACTGATGAAGTGGAAGGCGTAGGCAAGTTGGGGGCTGGGGTCATTGCACGTAGCGTAGCCGAACGACGAGCTGACGTGTTCCCGTTCAATGGCGGACTGCTTGAGTACGGAGGTGAGTTCGGAGGGATGGACCAGATATCGCGTCGCATGTCACGGTCTTCGAAGATACTTGTTGGTGCTGCGATAGTCTGAGTGGACGAGATGTTGAGCTTTCTACGCTTGGCTGCATGAGGGTGACGGAGCTGTGTAGACGAAACTCGTCTAGCAGAATTGGAGGCAGGGTGACGAAGAAGATCATTCCTCGGTCGTGGTAATACAGGCGTAGAGACTGGTATTTCAACATCTGGGGGACTGCTTGTAGGACTTTGATTCGGATCAAACTCTTGCTCCTGGGTTTCGTCATTCTGCTGCTTACGATGGCCCTGGGGTGATCGTGACCGCTCCCTTCGCACCGGTCTAAGTCCTCTGCTCTGTACTTCTCTCCGGTACATCTCACCCTCCAACGCATAAGGATGCATCTGAATAGGCTTCCGTTGGCGGAACTCACGTCTTGCCCTGTCGTCGGCAATCTGCCTCTGTAGGGCGGTCGAGGCTGGTATGACTATTTGAACCGCCGTGCGACGATGAGGCTCAGAAAATGCCAGCGGGGGCGACTCCATATCCGTTGGTGGATCTGAGAGATCTGAGGTATCATCATCGGAATTGTCGGACAAGGGAGTAATGCCGAACTCATGAAATAGGGTTGGAACGTGTTTGGGACTTCGTGCATCACCCACCATGGTCGACTGTATGGGAACGGTTGGATTGTCGGAAACAGGAACGGCATGATTGTCGTCCAGCTGAGGTATGGATACGGCAGAGCTTGGCTGAAGTATTGGCGATGCTGGGCGTAGGGATGGTTGAGGTGGTACATTCCGTCGAATCTTTGGCGTTTGCGAGCCGAGTAGCGGATCGGGGCTCTCGGTGAGCTCGCGTCTGAAGCTGTGCGTAGACCTGGGCGTGAAGGGAGATGGCGTAGGACGTCTGGGCGGGCTGCGTTTGGTGGGCGTGGTAATAACCGTCTCTTCCTTATCTACTCCTTCACTACCTTGAGCAGCACAATTCCTCTCTCTGTCTTCGTATACAGTCGCCTGTTCCTCTTCCGTGGCTTTTTTATGCCGTCCGATCGCGTCGACGCCTTCTTCGACGCGCTCGACGCGTCCACTCAGGCCACCATTCTGCCTGGAACCCTGACTCTCAAGCTGAGACTCGTCTTCTTCCTCATCCGAGTCCTGTACAAAACCTTTCTGTCGCCATTTGGACATTTGGACGCGCCTGCATGTCGTACCGGAGGTCGAGGCTGACGGAGTGAGGTTTTGGGTGATTGTTGAAGGCATGGCGCGTCGTCCCGTGCTCCGCCTAGCGTGTGCCGGGGGCGGAAGAGGGCTGAACTTTTTGCCCGCGGGAGTGCTTTCGTCATACACCCCAAATTCAAGAATCAACAGTCCACACAACAAGCAAACCGAATGGCAGGACGCATCCTTCCAGTCGCGCTGGCGACGATAGTCGGCGTATCAATTGGAGTGGCTACTTTTGATGGCGAGTTTAAAAAACAGCGAATAGCACGATTGGAGGCAGAGTACAAACGGTACGACGGTTCCACATGCGCTTTCTCCCGCTTTCACTTATACTCATACCAGGGAACTCGCTGCTGCTGCCGCTTCCACAAGTACAGCGACTCCGCCACCAGCAGCCCCGGGTGGCAGAGCTCCCATACAGCTACAGACTAAGAAAGAAGATATCGTCACTTCTGCGCCTGCTGATAATTCGTGGTCGAACACGCTCGGACTCTGGGCATGGAAGAAGGATAACAAGACGGAAAGTGCGACTGTGCCTACGACTAGCAACGCCGAAAACTCCAAAAGCAAGCCCTGATGGTATTGTAACTGGCATTTAAAGATCAAGTCGACGCTCGAGATCGCTCCACCGCCCCTGCCGCAGCGGATCCAGACGCTTCAGCTCGTCCAACCACGACTTCATGTCCTTTGTTGTAAATGACCCGGTTCCTGCGTCTACCGCCAGGTACGCCTCTGCGAGCCCGAGCAGTGCCTCGTATATCCACTTGCAATCCTCCTCGTCCTCTAATATCTCCGTGATATACTCCATCTCGTGCTCGTAGTACTTTTGTCGCTCGCCGTTGGTCAGATCCTGGACAACAAGCGAACCCGATGGACATGACGGAGACAATATCGAGAGGAGGTATTGGTGGTAGAACCATATAGACTGGTCGAAAGGATCCGTGTTTATGGCTTCGCATATTAGAGCTAGTTCCGAGTTGAGGAATGCGCGGCGAGCTTGGGCGTCTGCATCGCGCTCGCAGAGCATCTTGGGTATAAGCTGGCTGCGGTTGTGCCAGGCGGAGAAGTTGGAAAGATTGGTCTTGATCATTTTGGTTGTGTACTCGAACTCGGACTCTGTGAGGCTTTTCGGTGTAGTGCCGGTCGTGAGGATGTCTTCAGACGCCGCCAGCCGTTCGATCTGCGACACGACGAATCGTCTATAGCCCCAGGCATGAAAATTGCGGCTGTCCGCGTGTAGCATCTTGTTTATGAGTTGCAGTTCTCCCGACCAAAGCTTATGTGATGCTTCCACGCCCATCAACGCCTCCCCTTCGCGCAGAAGCCAGTTTCGGTGGTTCCATATCCAATAGCACTTTGGGAATTTCCGTAACAGCGCAAAGGTGAGATGCAGGTCGCCTTGCAAAAGATCTTCTGGCGATTGCTCAAGAGCATCTGATGTCAAGAGGGCTATCAGGACGCGTCTCCTGTGGTTCCATATCGTGTAATACTCAGGGTTTTCGTTTAGGAGCTTCGTGACAAGGCCCAAGACTTCGATGGTATACTGCTTCTCTGCAACCTAAAGGGCGACTGTCAACACCGAACGACCCAATCTGATTTTGAATTACGTACCTTTGCATTCACCAGATCGGCTAGATCTTTGTAATCCGCAATCTGTTGAAGCTCCTTCTGTCGCGCCTCTTCTGACCGAACTATCGGGCCTGACCCACGCGATATACCGTGCTATACATGTTAGCGAGTGTCGCCGATTTATCCTCATGTCAACATACGCTTGCCATGTGTTCTTGCGCGGTTGACAAGGCTTGGCTGTTGTTTCCTCAGACTGCAGCCTCGGCGGGATGTTGCCCCACTACACGCGTGCAGCCGCTGCCCCTCCGTCATCTCGCGCGGAAGGTTGCCGTCAACACTCGCTGCATCTGTCACCCCTCAGTTTGCTGCCAACATCCTAAGACCTTGACCCATCATTGCATTACTAACCTCGCAGCGACAACACCGGGACAGCAGGCAGTACCTCTTGTCCTTTAGCCTTTTTCCTTCGAACGACTTCACATGCGCTGACACTCACAACTAAGCTCTCCAGTCTACTCATCTTGACGCAAACCGCTCCAACATGAGCGACACTGATGATGGAACATCTCCATCTCAATCTGGCTATCTCACACCGCCGCTGTCTCCCACCAAGACTGTCTGCACTGAAGATTGGTCGTCACCCAGGACACCCCAGTCTCCTCGCAAAAGTCGCAGCTGTCTCTTTTTTAGTGACAACAACAATAACAGTGACACTACCAGTTCCAGTCTAATCTCGCCATCTTCTCCTAGCAAGTCAAAATTCACTTCCCGTCTTCAGGCACTGTCTACTCCAGACCCTCGTCCGATCAAGCGTGAAGCTGTAGTGGAACAATCAAACGATCAGACTTGTCCAGATCATCGCAGACTCAACGATTTCAATTCTTCCTTTCTCAATCGCTCTACCACGCTCGCTCACTCAAACGTTCCCTTAGCGTCTACTACAGCTGCATTGCCTCTTGATAGGGAGGCCTGCAACTCCAGTCCGCCTCGAAATGTATCTCTTGCAAGAAAACCAAGGCGTACAAATCGCAGCTCTTCAGATAGCCTGGTTAGCATCTTGAGTCGCGACCCATCTCCTTCGCCAAATCCTACAGATACTGCCACTACAATCGAAAGCTCGAACTTCACACCCCTGCGCTACACTGACGCTTCTTCTGGGGTAACTTCTCGGCCCGCTAAGCTTTGTCAACTACCTCTGCGCTATGCTAGCTCTCCTCTGAGACCCAGTCAATGGGTCACGCGAGGCGGACTTTTACCATCACCTCGTCCAAACCAAACCAGCACGCCAGATCGCTTCATCGCCAGCCGCCGGCCACCTGCGGTTACTCGAGAAAGCTTCGAGCTCAATAGCCCTGCAGAGCGGAGGGACAAGGAACAAAACATGAACCGTGGTACTCGCAGAGGCTCAGATGCTTTCAGTCGCCGACTGCGCAGAAGTGGCCGCATGAATGAGGAACTACGCGGGCTCAGAGAGGCACATTCCGTGGTTTCAGGGCGTGCCAATGCAAATAGAAGGAATTTCAACTTCAGGCGCAATCCTCTAACCTTGGGCGCTCGCCAGATCAGCGCTGGTGCTATCTGGAACGTTGGTGGGCCTTCTGCTGTGAGCGACACAGTAGTTGCAGTGTCCACTGGCAGAGGTGGAATGCTCGGTAGTGGAACGAACGCGCCACTGTACAAATCTGCTTTCTTGAACCGCGCAGATCCAGATGCTGAGCTTGAAGCCTATGAACGACGTCTCGCACTAGCACTTGACATTGATCAAACTGATCGCATACTTCAGCACTCATCATCTGCAGCCTCTCCGCGTTCGCAAAATAGCGGCCCTGCATCACAGACAAAACATGTCTGGCGAGACGGAGCTTGGCTAAAGGACGGAGTTGATCCGAGTTCGTTTATGTTCCTTACGAACGTTTCAGCATTGTGTCGTTGCTGACCACAAGCTCAAGATACCCGTAAAACGCCGCCAAAGCGGAGACCTGTGCCCATTTTACCTTTCAGATATGTCCTTAACCTACCGGGGGTTTTTTTATACTAATCCAGCCTACAGTCCTTGATGCCCCTAATCTCCGAGACGACTATTACTGTACCTTGCTCGCATATTCTTATACCTCCAAGTGTCTTGCTGTGGGCCTAGGGAACTGTGTCCATCTATGGTCCGAAAGAAGCGGCGTCAGTACGCCAGACTCGCTGAACGCCGTGCCACCAAATGGACCTTCAGATGTTCAGCATGTTACGTCGTTGGACTACTCGTCCACAGCAGGTGGGCAAGCAATTCTTGCGGTTGGACGGGCTGACGGTCGTATCTTACTGTGGAGCCCGCTTGACTCGGAACCACGATTCGATGCTACGCAACCCAAGCCTGTATCATGCGTATCTTGGAGACCGACTGTTGTACAGCGACCTTCACTTCGGGATAGAGCAATGAATGTACCAACCGAAGAATTACTCATCGGAGATGAGGTTAGTCACATCTACTTCTACAGTGTTGAGTGGCCTTCGGAGACACACAGTGCACTTTTCGGCTGGAATGGTGCCATGACATTGCTCGCTCGATTATCCATCCATAGCCAACAGATTTGCGGTTTAACATGGTCGTCGGACGGCGAGCTCTTTGCAAGTGGAGGGAACGACAACAACTGCAATCTATTTGAGACAAAGAAGTTGCTTCGACCAAACGCTGCTAGCGAGAGTACAGCAGCCATATTGGATGTGCGTGAAGGTCCGCGTGGTGAGTCCATCTACACCGTAACCAACCGCAACAACAACCCCGTCTTGCATCTTGCGCAATCGGCGGCGAAACATACATGGACACTCAATGCAGCTGTGAAAGCCATGGCGTTCTGCCCCTGGCAACGCGGACTTATAGCCGTCGGCGGCGGCTCAAATGATCGCTGCATCCGCTTTTATCACACACGCTCAGGCACTTGTCTTGCTACTATCGACTGTGCAGCTCAAGTCACCAGTCTTATCTGGTCTCAAACTCGCCGTGAAATAGCAGCGACGTTCGGCTTCGCGCAACCCGAACACCCATACCGTGTCGCTGTCTTCGCTTGGCCTGGTTGCGAACAAGTCGTTGCCGTGCCGTGGTACGATGAGAATCGGGCTCTGTGTGCAGTCGCTTACCCCGGCGGTCCATTGAATGGTTCGCACATAGATGGAGACCGCGATGGTGGAAGGGCCAGGGGTGAAGATGGAGTCTGGTCGACAAGAGGCGCCGAGGAAGGTTGCATCGTCGTTGCAGCTAGCGACATGGCAATTCGGTTCCATGAAATCTGGAGTGACAGACGGGGAAGTGTGGCTTTCGGTACTCTGCTAGGCAGTGAGACTACAGGCTTGTTAGGAGGAAGTGATATTCTTGAGGGCCGCTATGCTAGTGACTTTGAGCGGCCAGGAATGGTAATCAGATAGATATGAGATAGTCCTTGAGGAACGAGTAGGACAATAGCATAAGGCAAGCAAAATAGCTTCTCAGTCCAGGTATAGCAAGGTCTTGGTTCTGATCCAGAACTGGCTTTGTGTTTGACATGCTACTACCAGGCACTATTCGCTCATAAGAGAAGAATGCCAGTGGTGTTCTAGTATCGTCATCGTCTTCTAAGGTCTTCCATCACCCCGGTCCCCTCTTTCACTTTTCCCGAGTCTTTTAACGTGCACCTCTCCCAGCCTTAGCCGCACTCTCAGATTTGCGCCTGTATCTTACGCCCTCGGTATCCTCGTTTGCTTACCCTGAACGCTTCTTTCTCTTCTGCCATGTCGCTAGCATCTTTCCACAGTCGTCTCAATGTTGATAAATTGATCTGGGCTGCCTACTCAGCCTTTGCGCCTCATTCTGCTTCTGGTCATTACACAAGTGCGCTTGCATGTTGTTGACCTCAAGCCATGCGACATTCCTTCACCGTCTTCCGCCCCATCTACTGGATCCTCTCAGCAGCGTTTCTCGTTGGCCGTCCTTGCGTGAGAGCGTCCGTCTGTGCTTTCTTTCTCTCCAATTTCTTTTCTTTGCCTACGGCTTTCTTAGCTGAACGTTTTTGCGCGATGGCATTGATCTGAATTGAGCGATGTGCTTTCAGAACCGCAGTGAGAAGGCTTGTCGAGTGTTGTGCGGTAGTCGTAAGATCGGTGTCGGATAGCAGGGTAGAAAGTTCTAAATGAAGGCCTTGGAGAGCGTGTGTGAGTGCATCTTCCTTGTTCGTCTGTTTTCTAAGGTCTGGACGTTTTCTGTGCGGATCTGGAAGCGGTCTATGACTTAGGATAGGCGCCTTTACTTCTGACTGAGATTGTTCGTTTTGCTCAATCTGTTCCAAAGTTTGTTGTTGGGCAGCGTCTTCGTCCACATCAAGTTCGTTGAGTCCTTGGTGTTGTTGCGCCGACTGTGAGTCTTCGAAAAGATGGGCTGAATTTTTACCCCGATTCTCCAGCACGAAAGCTAGGCCCAGGGAATGTTTACCATTGCTCCCGTACAGGCTGTCACTTTTCGTAGCCTCTTCCCTCTTGTCAGTTTTGTCCGACCAGAATGTTTTTCCTTCGAACAGCCTCTTCGCAGTTCTGAATACCGTGCCACTGACAGGGTAAAGCTTGTTTTCTGTACCCATAGTGGCGTTGACCTGCAGTCGACCGCTTGCGTGACCTATCGTGATTGCGCCCTCCATCAGAGGTTCAGGGGCCAGCATTTGCTCAACGATGGTGCCGGGAATACGCGCAGCGACTGCTGATGTCAACGCAGCAGTCAAGGGAATTGCTCGATGAGGTTGTGTATCAGAGAGAAATCGGAGGACTATATCCATCTGCGACGACTTGAGTGTTTGCCCTGACAGCACAGGATGCGAAGATGACTGGGATACGAGACCGATCTTGGGTATGGTACGAGGAACGTCGTTTTCCGTAGGCGCAATACCCATGGCAACGGCAGCAGTCTTACGTATGCTTTCGAGCAATGCAAGCTTCTCTGGGAGTTTGTTGAAATCGTTGGGTAGTATCGTGCCATCCACACCAATATCGTCTGCTCGGATGAAGACACATGGGTTTGCACCATCCACGCAAGACACTCTGTAGCCCCCAACTTTGTCTACCCTCCTACCAGTTGGTAGCACTTTGCCGGTCTTGCTACCGTATGGGTGTTTGAAGTCCAACTTGATCTTGGAGCCAGATCCGGTCACACCGTCAATTTTGTAGTCGCCTGCCACAGCAGCCTCGGCTCCGATGACCTCGAAGGTGGAGTCGATCAGTTTCCCAGTATTCGTGTTCCGTATCTTGACAGTGACCTCTCCATCACCTTGAGCATATATTCTGGCTGGGAGAAGACCAGCATTGTAAGCATAGGGACCAATCGCACTACTCATGTTTCCACAATTGCCTGCGATGTCAACTTCGTCATTTTCAATACCCAAGCCAACAAAGGTGTAATCAATGTCCAAATTCTGCTCTTCCTCCGCCCTGTGTGCCTCTTTCTGGGTTTGTGCAACCTGCGCACTCTCACGTGCTGCATCAATGCCGCCAAATCCAGTACGGAAACGGGTGCCTCTTTCAGGCAGGGCAATCCTCCTCCCGTAGGGTTCTACGAGGCATATTTTGCTGAGACTCGATATCCCCGCGCCCATGCCATCAAGTTGTCGGCCATAAGGATCGCCACTGCCAATTATCTGGCGGAAGATGGCCGGCCATTTTGCGCGGTGTTTAGGCAGAGCTTGCGGTTGTATGATTACAGCTCGCGACGTGCCTCCGCGGTAATAAGCTGCCTCAATGGGCTTTTGGACCGTGGCGTCTGGCGGAACGACATCATGTCGAGAGACGAAGGAGCGTATGCGGAGGGAGAAGACTGGCGAAGGACGCATAACGCATCATGGCATGAACTTGTCGAGGAACGGGCCAAAGACGTGCGGCCGACAGATGGCAATGTTCGGAAAGGATCCGACCTCGGGACGGAAAGACTGGACCCTGTTTGGGAGCACAGGCAGCTGCTCCGAATTTTTCTCGAACATCCTCGACATCATCGCATCACACATCGAACCTACACTCTCGCCTTCGTACATAACTTGCATCTCCTGCTTCTCCATATTACACACTACACAATGTTGCAAAGAACTATCCTCCGCGCCTCAAGACAGCAGACTGCCCGCCAAATACGGGCTTTTGCGCCACTACGTCAACAAACACCCATCACAAGAGCAGTAGCCACACCTGCTATTCGATGGTACTCGGACGCTGCGCCCGCAAAAGAGGGAGAAGCCGCCGAGAAGAAGGAGGATGCGCCCGCACAGAACAACGAGGCAACACAATTGAAGGAGCAGCTGGAGAAGAAGGACAAGGAAGTCGTCGAGCTCAAGGTACGCATATAAGCCAGTTAGATGCACAAAGACAAGGAAATAACAATCGGCTGCAGGACAAATACCTCCGCTCAGTCGCCGACTTCCGCAACCTCCAAGAACGCACAGCACGTGAGATCAAGGCCGCAAAAGACTTCGCCATCCAGCGCTTCGCACGCGACCTTGTAGAATCTGTCGACAACCTTGACCGCGCTCTGAGTACTGTCCCGCAAGAGAAGCTCAAGGGCGACAACAGCGACCTCATTGCTCTCCACGACGGTATCAAGATGACCGACACCATCCTCATCAACACACTTAAGAAGCACGGCTTGGAGCGATTCGACCCCAGCGAAGCCGCAGAGAAGTTCGACCCCAACATTCACGAGGCCGTTTTCCAGGCGCCGCAACCCGACAAGGAGGACGGTACTTGCTTCCACACTCAACAGAAGGGTTTCAAGCTCAACGGACGGACACTGCGACCGGCCAAGGTTGGCGTTGTCAAGAACGCCTAAATGCACGATTGAACGAGGCCTGAATGACGTTCCATATATGCGGATAGTGGTGTTCATGACCTATGTCACTGTCGCAACCATTTCATTCGCATGTGTATGACTACTACGGTTCGGCTCTATTGACTGGTTGACACGGCGGTACAATGGAGGTATGGCGTTTTCGTGCTACCCACAAGGTGCACTTTGGTTTTTCATCGGACATTGTACAAATATTCCCCTCTCAGACGCATTTTGGAAAAGTTGAGCAAGCACAATGATGAAATGGCTTTGCATGTATTGTAATATTAGATATGACAGATTACGAGCGAAAGAGCAAACTCAAGAGCAGCAAAGCAGTATCAATGAATTTGCTTCAACTTATTCTTGATAGCCATCTGCACCTTCTTTCTGTGTCCAATGTTAATGCGAAGGATACGATACTACGTTCCATGGCAGTTTTGCAGTCTGTTGACGCCCATCCTTTTAGAACGCCAGCCCATGCAATGTTGTACACCCAGACATGCCCATACTTGTCTACCAGTTCTGTCCGTATGGTGTAGCACCGTACGGCGTAGCACCTCCTTGTGCCGCGCCACCCCAAGAACTCGCGCCGCCGTATCCCGGTGCTCCGACTGGAGTATATCCGCCGGCGTCACCATACCCAGCACCGTTCAGTGTTGGGCTCTGCGCACCGCCAAAGTCCTCTGGGCCTCCAATACCGCCGGATAGTTCTTTGATAATCTCGGCGAGCTTTCGTTGTAGGATAGAGATACCTTGCGTGACAATCTGATCAGGTTCAAGACCACCGACTGTTTCGACGTCGTAGAAGAAACGGGTTGGAACAGCGTCGTAGTTGAAGGGTTCATCTGGGTTGGGTGGGCCGCCGTCAAGGTTTATCCGAGCTTCGTCTTTGGGCCTAGTTGCTGTCAGATTGTTCCTGCCCGTAATCGAGTACTCAGCAAGGAATAGAGCACACATACCATTCCTTATCCGCGTCCTCCTCGTGCCAGTAGTCCAAATGATGCAGCTTGTTCGCCGGATCATACTCGAAACCGATGGCCGCACTCGGTGCCCACTTCGCATGCTCCTTTGCAATACCCTTCTTCGCGATGCACTTCATGCTGATCGCTTGACCTCTCCTCAGTTTGACAATGCAACTACCCGTCTCTTCTGAGTCAGTGATGACCGGCTTGCCTACATCCTCATTCGGTGTCCGGGACTCAATCACCAGATCGCGCGCATACACTTTCATAATCTCGCTGCCTGTGCATTTCGCGTTGAGGGTGAGGACAACGGCGCAGTTGTCGCAGTAGCCTTCGCAGTCGCAGTCGCGCGAGTATAGCAGGTCTTCGACACCTTTTGAGCACAAGGGCACGAGGCCGAGACGGTGGCAGACGAACTCGTCGGCAAGAACGGATGTGTTGTCGAAGACTTCTACGACGTCGATGGCAAGGGTGGGAATCTCAGCGAGCATCACACGGCGCAGCGAGTTGGCGGTTTCGAGATTAAAGTTCTGGACGATGAAGTTGGCGCGCTGGCTGTTTGCCTACGCATGGCTGTGTTAGCTCGACGTGTTGCGAGGTAGCCAGAGCAGACGGTGTACCTCGAGGAAGCGGACGTTTATTGCGCCGCCATCTGGGTCGTAGTCCATCGCGTCGTCGTTTCAGTGAGGTGAGAGCTGGGTGCTTGCGGCGTGAGAGATGAAGTCGAGGTGGCAAGGCGATTAGATTGTGAGGCGGAGAGAGACGTGTTGACGTGTATGGCGTGTGCTGGCTAGGGACGTTGCCGTGATGGAGATTCTTTGAGGTGAGTCTGGAGCCAACGTAGCCTAGCGCCTGGTAGCATGCGCCACACCTACGCCACACTTCCAGAGCTGTTCCACTGTCATGCCTTTGTGGTCATCGTCATGCAGGTCAACAATCGACGAAATTGCACCGCATCCGCAATGATACGCAAATTCATCTCCTTCTGAATCAAGTTTACCGAGCGGCAATGTTCTGACAACCTGTTTGCGTGCGTCTACTCAATACCTAGGTATTTCATGGCCTGGCACAAACCAAGCTGCTACAACATGAGCTATAGGTTTGGATGTGCCGTATGTTTGTGCAAAACAAAGGACGTATGAAGCAAGTACATGCTCTCAGAGCCCGCGGGTGTGTCCGGCATGCGCGGAGCGTGAGACAGTCACGAGACAAGACGTGACCTTCGATCAGCTTTGCTCCTAAGCACATGAGACACTCTTGTAGGATGATGTACTTCAAGACTACTTGCAGCGTGACGACAAGACCAAGACGTGAGGGTGTTATCGGCCAACACAGGTCTCGGGTGCAAAGCGCCTATGGCTGTGCTGCAAAGTGAGCTGACTGACTTGACAGTTGTCCTCGTCGTACCGTCGCATGCATATGGCAGATGGGGATTGACGAGTCTGCCGCCGAGTGACGACCTATAAAATGCCCAGTCGGACAAGATAACGGCCCTGATAGTATTGTGTGCATGCTGTGTAGTCCTAACATGGATAAGTCGGGCACTAACAGTCGACTCGGTGCTTGAGTAGCCTGCAAACTATCTTCTGTGGAACCAGCGAGACACTGATGGATGTTTCTTTCGTCGACATGAGGCTGAGTTGAGGGCGACTAAGCATCAGCGAGGCTGAGGGCCTCTCCTTTTCTCTGCGTGTTGTGCTATCGTCAGTTGAATCCGTCATTGACGCGTCCGCCGAGGTCCGGAGACCTCTAACAGCACAGTGCGTTGGGAAGCAACATGGCGGGGCAGTGCAATAACGCCCAGGAAATGGCGCGAAAGAAGCAGAACATGGGACGTGGACGCGGGACATGTCATGGCCGAAGTTCTGGCCTTGGCGGATTGAGGCGGAGCAACAGTGTGCTTGCATGCGGAAGCTGGAACCACCAACCACCGCGAAGGCGAACTTTGGTATAAGACACAGGCATTCAAGACATTGCACTTCAACTCATCACAGCAACTCATCCACACCAGACGCCCAGGACTCTTTGCGCAACACATATAATCGCAAACATGCAAGCTACTCTGCCATCACCAATGCGCTCGCGCGCATCATCGGGCAGCAAGTCGCCACTTTCTCTCGACTTCTCAGACCTGCCACCACTGGTCGAGCCATCACCACCCTCAAACACACTCATCATAACCGTAAGTGTTGCACTCGTCAACTTCAGCGGCAGCATCTAACAGTATCCAGAACCTTCTTGCTCCCGAAATCTTCCAACTATCAACCCTTACCGAGATCCGCGAAACCATCGACCAACATGCAAAAGTACACACATGGGCGCCGCTCAAGTCCTTCCGTCGCATCGTGGTATCCTTTTTCGACATTGACTCTGCGATACAAGTTCGACAAGCCCTCGATGGCGAGCAGCTCATGGGCTATCGCATCCGCGTATATTTCGGTGTAAACACACCCATGAACCCCTCAGACCAGCACCTCGCCCTACCCAAGTCAGATCGCCTATTTTTCATCTCGCCGCCACCTTCACCACCGATGGGCTGGGAAATGAAGGAAGAGGATGCGCCCAACAAGATTGTGCACCCTGAAGACCTCGCAGCAGCGCTGGCGCGGTTGCATGCAAACCACGAGGCGACCTCACCCGAGACCGATCACGGAGGTGCTCCCATTACAAGGAGGCGGACCGGCAGCACGACTGTAGTTTACCACCCCGAAGACCACGGCGATTCACCGAACCTTCCAGCTATATCAGTTGAAGACACAACAGAGACACCTGAGCCTTTGACCCCCATCGATGCGATGGAAGGGATTGAGGGACCGATCGCGTCGCAGAAGGCACAGGGCATGACAGTCAGCACCGCGAGGCCGCCGGTCGAGCTCATGCAATAGACAGTTTAGTGGTCTCGCGTATCATTTCTTTCCTTGTGTTTTCAAAAAAGGCTTCCTGTGTCCATAATGATATGGCGAATGCATAGTTCTGGCGTTGGTGGCTTGCTGATTTGAGGACGGCTCTGCAAGCTAGGGAATGCGAGCATTTGGGTTTGAGAATACCTGAGCAAGACTTTAGTCGCAACGAGTCTAATGGTCAGGGAATGGCACGGCATGGAATGATATCCCTCTTGAATAGCATAAACACGTTAAATTTTGCACATCCAATTGCTTCACATGCTCCGAAAATCTGGTGAATATGTGTACGCAACGTAAGCTCCGCGCTGCTGGGCTCAAAACGCTGCTGAATGATGCGATCTGCGAAGACGAAGGCGATAGACGCACTTTTGTACGAACCAACATCCAAGTCCCAATCGTGCTCCTCACGATGAAATGCTCGCATGTCTGCACAGATTGCATCCGGACTTCTTGCTGCAGAGTGAACCTAACGATTCAGCAGGATATACATCATGATGCCACTAGAACGCGAGTCATGCCCCAGGCCTCGACGATTCCCCTCGAGTTAGTTTGCGGATCGCGACTGCCGTACGTGGAAGTCGCGCTAGCACGTGATGATGCCAAACCCGATTAGCGCGCACTGGCATTAAGCGAACAGCATTCCAAAATGAATTTCGACCCGACGACCCTTCAACACCACGACAATCTACTAACGTTGCAGCTTCCACACGCCGTCGAGACGCCGCAGTCAAGATGAAGCTCAACATCTCCTACCCCAACAATGGAACCCAGAAGTTGATCGAGGTCGACGATGAGCGCAAGCTCCGCGTCTTCATGGACCGCCGCATGGGTCAAGAAGTCCCTGCCGACAGCATTGGCGACGAGTTCAAGGGCTACATCGTCAGGATCACTGGCGGTAACGACAAGCAAGGTTTCCCGATGAAGCAGGGTGTCATGCACCCAACTCGTGTCCGCCTCCTCCTCGCTGAGGGCCACTCCTGCTACCGCCCCCGCCGCACTGGTGAGCGCAAGAGGAAGTCCGTCCGTGGATGCATTGTCGGCATGGACCTCTCTGTCCTTGCTCTCAGCATCGTCAAGAAGGGTGACGAGGACATTCCCGGCCTGACCGACATTGTCCACCCCAAGCGCCTCGGTCCCAAGCGTGCCACCAAGATCCGCCGCTTCTTCGGTCTCAGCAAGGAAGATGATGTGAGTTACCTCATAGCTTCTTCGCCAATCCTGCTTCGCATAGCGGATTGAGTCTCGCTCGTCCTGCTACAAGCAGCGTATTGAGTCTGAGCAACAAGAAGTGAGCTAGTAAAGTTTCAAGGTTTGAAGACTAATCATTGCATGTGTAGGTCCGCAAGTTTGTCATCCGCCGTGAGGTCCAGCCCAAGAAGGAGGGCGCGAAGCCCTACACCAAGGCCCCCAAGATCCAGCGTCTTGTTACTCCTCAGCGTCTCCAGCACAAGCGTCACAGGCTGGCACTCAAGCGCCGTCGCGCGGAGGCTTCCAAGGATGCTGCCGTACGTCCATACCCTACTATGACGTTCAGAATAACTACTAATGCCAATACAGAACGAGTACGCTCAGATCCTTTCCAAGCGCATCAACGACGCCAAGGCCGCACACGACGAGGCCCGCAAGAGGAGGGCGTCTTCCATGAAGCACTAGAGAGTTATCATGAATTCATGATTGGGTCGTGGAATGATTACATTGGCGTCGGCACGAAAATAACGGTGTGGGCTCCTGTATCTGAATGAAAACTTCGGGCATTCTAGGGAATAGGCGCTTCTCATACCACTGACTGCTTAAGGCAGTTGTCTCAATAAACAATTGCATCACTTCACCACCGCTCCATGATCTTGCCGTATGCGACAGGCATTCCACTCGAACACTTCCAGATCTTGTTTGACTACGAAATCTGATTGGCAGACGTATCTCATCGGTCCCTCTCCATCGCGTTGGTCATGGCTAATTGACTGTATATATCTGCCTCACATCCTGTTCTTTTCGTACTTGCTTCCAATTACATGACATTAAAGCGAACATCGGACCTTTCCTTGAAGTACTAAATTTTGGTTGCAAATAGTACTCTTGGCCCCTCAGGCCTTGCATACAGCTGTTGCCACCCTACCAAGCTTCTCCCTACTTTTGTCGTCGCATACGTGTTGCACTGATCGAGTCCTCTCAGTGCGCCTCGTACTATCTGCAATACACCGTAGGCTTTTGCTGCCCTACGCGTTTTGGGTCGCTTTATCAACAGTACCTGAAGGAAAACCCGATGGCTAAAATGGTCGTCTTTTTCTATCTGCAATGTCCTTTGAAGGAGCTTACTCAAACGTGTGGCACATGCAATGAAGCAATTATGGTCATCTGTGCATGTAATCATTCCGTTTCGCGATCGATTATAGTCTTTTGCTATACCAAGACAGTGAGCCGCACCCTTCCGTTTGTCTTCAATGGCTTCCATAGATGCAAGCGAGAGAACGAACCCTACACCCTCTCACCTTCACCATTGATATTCGCAACACTTTATCGAAGCGGTCAGAGACGTCCTCGTCAGTCCGAGAAAGATGAAGGATCTTGGGCAAATAAACACAAAAGACAAGGAAGATGCCATTATCAGTGAACTGTCTCCAAGATCAGACAGAAATCTCGCTTTAATGCTTGCACTTCCGAGCTGATTTCCCGCTAGATTTTCCAGTAAAACACCTTTAGGGCGAACGATGAATACAAGGGGTACATGCTTTGGGTGGCGATACAATCACTTGTGATCAAAGTCGAGAGCCATATGCATAACCCTTTAGAGAATTGGATACCCGGTAGAGAAAAACGCATGGGTACAGTTGTGGTCACCTTGGTAGATAAATACAAGGCTATAAATGATTACAAGGGGAAAGGAGCAGAGATTAAACAGGTGTTCGTAAATCATCGTTCGAATCTGACAACGTGGGGATGGTGCTAGAAAAAGTCTGCGTACTATGAGATACGATGCAGGGGAGCAATCCCAAGGATTTGAAAGGGCGTGATTCAAGCCTTTCGAAGGCGTGAAGCTGAGATCGCCAAGATGAGACATCAAGCTACTTTGCGCAAAGCATATAAAATTCGAGTGCGGCTTAGACCTCTGAAGCCACTGTCTTATTGCATTTTGATAAAGCTATTTAACCATTCTAACCAAATAAGACAGCACTACATGACCTCAATCTAGGCATTCAATACGCGTCAAATACTAAAGAGAATCATCCTGTCACTCTCGATAGCTCTTTAACACACTGTAATCTCTGAAGAGCTTCTGGCGTCTAAGCTGATACCTGCTCGTCGAGATCTCGAGGAATAAACTGGATGTAAGGGCCATGCTTCTCGCTCGTGAAATGTCCTTTGATCTCGAAGTGCACAGCTCCCTTTGCACCACTCCGCGTCTCCCCAATCGTACCCATTGGGCCTTCAGCACGCTTCCAATCCGCTCGGAACATTATCTGAGCCAAGGCTGTGGTAAGCTCCATATAAGCAATATTTTTACCCAGACAACCCCGAGATCCCAGCGAAAAAGGGATAAATGCTCTCTTCGCCAACTTGAGCGCCTCCTCACTCTGGTTGTCCGGCAGCCATCGTTCAGGGATAAACTCGTCGGGGTCTGGGAAGTAGGCAGGATTGCGCTGAATGGCGTAGCAGCAAGTTGCAACATCTATGCCCTTTGGAAGGGCGTTCCCAGCTATCGACTCTTGCATCCTCGTCTCCCTCCACAGTGGGGCGGCTACTGGAGGCGCAAGCCGTAGTGCTTCGTCGATACAAGCCAGGAGGTACAAGCAACTTGTCAATTTTGGGCCAGGCGCGATTTCCTTAAGGGTCGAGAAGGTTGATCGGATTTCAGCAGCTAATCGCTTGTAGACTTCTGGATGACGTGCGAGGTAAAAGAAAAAACTAGAAATGGCAACAGAAGATGTATCGGTACCTGCGGCTGTTAAAACGACGAGGTATAGGCAGCATAATGGAGCTCGTTCATCTTACCTGCAACTACCATGACTAGTGCATCAGCCATGAGCTCCTCGTTAGTAAGTCCTGAGTCTTCTTGGCCTCCTTGCCCAATCAGGTCTCCAAAGATATCGTCCACGTGCTGCTTCTTCTCTAGTTCTATTCTGCCCATTACAAGTGTCCGAATCCGTTCGTTGAGCTGCGAAATTTTCTTGCTAAGTTTCGGCGCGAGGAAAGTTCTGAGATTCCGGTAATCGGCTAGTCGTGGCTGTATTACTTCCATACCAGCCATCAACATGCAGCTGTCGATTGTTTCAAGGAAGGGTCGAGCGTGTGTTTCGGTCATCATATTTTGCGGGCTGTAGAATACGATGCTCGACATAATATCAAAAGTGAAGTGAGAGCCTGTTAATCTTAGTACTGTGATCCTCACTGGGCTTTTCGACATACTTAGGTGGCTGATGTCTAACCCAGGACCACAAGATCTTGCTTTGTCGCAAGATTCAGGACTCGCCAAGAGCGTGTCGCCGAAGACTTTGGCTGTTTTGTAGATCATTGGCTCGTACTTTCTCAAAGCAACAGTAGAGAAAGCCCGGCTCAGCATCTTTCTCCTTGGCGCATGTTCCTCTCGATTGAGCGCATTGATGATGCTGACTTCAGGCTTGCCATTTCTGAAGCCTATATAGCCTCGTGCTTTCTGTGTCTTGGATGGGTGCATATATATGTCTGTGATTATCAGACACATTCAACCTTAGCTTTGCTTAGTGAAATACCTTGTAGTCCTTCGACAGTGTTCACAATAAGACCGTCTGGCTTGTAGCGTACCACATCGCCTACTGCACGTCAGTGTTCCTGACATCTCACCGCATGATTTGTGACTTACCGTATTTCTCATGACACCTCTGGACGTCCAGATGGATGTTCCCAGTATATGATTGGTATGCCCCATACCAAGACGTGCATCTTGCCAGAAAGGGTCCAGGGTATTTGGCTAATGGATGGAAGTAAAGTCTATAAATGACCTGCGAAACCTACAAACTTGTTAGTCAATATCGGGTCAATGTATTTGGGCAGCCTACAATCATAAAAGTGACAGCGCAGGAGGAGTAGAAGGCGGTGTCGATGGCAGTCATGATTGTTTGAATCCAAGTGGACGCATATAAATTGTGAACGGATAATGTCAAATTGTGGATATGGACATCACCTTATATGTAGAACTACCACACCCATGTTCTCATAGCTGCGGCATTCGGAGAACTTGGCGTTGTTGCGTAGAACGTAACGTCTACCAGGATCTTGGGTTGAAGATCGTCTCGTACGAAGCGGACAAACATGATTGTGGGTTTGTGTCGCACTTTTGACAAGGTAGATGGACCGTGGTAAGGTTTTAGTCGGGCTGCAGTCCTGCCGCCGTACTGCTCTTTCTACGGCCGTAAGTCAATCCACCACAACGGTCACAGCATGGACACATGACCCACTAAACCCACTCCACCTGAAGGCATACGTCATAAAGCTCCTGCTTCCTTCACTTATTAGCTTCTAGGTTCGTTATTAACAGTGGGATTTTGGCGTCCAAGAAAGCTTGATCTGATTAATATGCATCAGAGAAGCACAACAGCGCGTTGAGAAACACTGCGGCGGGAATGTATACTTCTCTTCGGGTTTCAAAGATTCGTGCAGGCACAAATAAATCGTATATATATCGGCCGAAGCATCGAACCGTGTTCTATGATTTCGCGCCGCAAAATGCTGTCAGCGCCAAACGCCCGCCCATGTGGTATCATTCGTCTTGTCGCGTACCCCAAGATTGTATAAAACACATGCGTATTTATGCTGAGCCTCTTTTGCCTACTCAAGCTTTTTCAGTTGCCGGTAGACCTTCTTATGTTGCTCCAAAAACAAGAACGTAAGCACGGTGTGGGGTCCAACACGGATGAAGCTCGGTACCCAGCCCTTGAACATCCAACGGAACCCTTCTGCTCTCATAGTATCTGAAACAGTCTTTATGAGCCCAACGTTCTCGCTAGAGCTCATGACTTTCGTCTTGATAACATCTACCGGCGAGCATATCGTTGTAGCTACGAATCCTGCCAAGAACGATGCGGTGAAGTGTGTTGCGAGGTTGTCTTGCAACGGCGTGTAATTCAGCAACACGCGCTTAAATCCATCGTATGTTGCTAGTTGACCCACAGTCATGAGCACAGCTCTTGACGAGTTGGGCCAGACGCCTTTCCACAGACTTGCTACTCCTTCTTCCCGCGACATTCGTATTATCCCGTCGATCGCATTCTTGTATCCTCGTCGCTTCTCTCTCGGTAATGCTGCGTCATGTTGCATCCGGACATTCAGAATGTCTCCTGGGTTACCGGCGAAGCCTCCGAGAAAGCCTGATATAGAGGCCATGCCGACCAGTGTCAGGAACGAGGGTTTCGAGTCGGCGGTCGTCATGCGGTCTTTAAGGGCTTCGTAGACACCGAAGCGTGTCATGCTGTAGGTTCCTTGGCGAAGTTGCGCTGCGGATATCTAGTGTCGCATTAGCTGGAAACATGTGAAAAAAGACCCAAGACCACGTACGCCTTTGTACAGCCCCAGTGCTCCATCAGTCTTTATGACATGACCAAACATTTGCATCATGTTTAATCGTACGCCAGATGTCGCTTGTGTTTGTAACCGGACCTGAACGAGTGAGTATGTACGAA